ACCGAGACCGGGACCGGGACTGAGACCGAGACCAAGGCCAAGGCCAAGATTGAGCCCAAGTCCGAGTCCGAGTTCGAGTTTGAGAGGGTGAAAGCCCAAAGCGTTTGTGTCCCAGACCCTAGGGGGTTTGGTGAGCTCCAAAAGTATAGTAAGGGGGAGGACTGCAGTGGAGCCAGTTTGGCCAAGAAAGGCTAGTTTGGCCCAGGAAAGCTGTACCCAAGTGTTGGGTGATGAGCTGACCACTGGGAAGTCTAAGACTAGAGTGAATATGGACCGACAAGTGGGGTAGCTTGGTGAAGTATTCAAGAGCCAGCTCTAGTTCCCCCGGGAGATCGAATGGTCGATGCTTCTAGTCCAAGTGTGGGTGGCACTACCTACTTGGATACCTGGCGTGGCTCAACGGAACCTCGCTCTAAGCCCATGGCTAGAGCACCAAAAGGCAGAAGGTGGGGAGAGTACCCATGAGGCTCGCGTAAGGCCATGGTGTTCCGAAATGTTGTCCCAAAATCTCATACGGTGAAAAGGAAGAAGAGCAATCCTCTAGTGCAATGACCAAGGATACAGTCACATGGTGAGGAAGTCCCAAAGGATAGTGGGACTTAGAGGTCGGGCCTGTGGGCCTTGATCCAATGACAGTGTTGGCAAACACAGCTATGGACAAAAAGGGACTTGGTGGGGATTGGAAAAGAGATATTGGGGAAGGCTATTCCTCATATCTGGGGGCATCCTAAGGATGCTAAGGAGTGGATCTGGGATGATCACTCATGGATGGATGGCCTAGTCTTGAGAGACGGAACTGCGATGCAAGTGGTGTTGGACCACTAGTGTGACTAATTTAAATGGGCATGGCCTTAGCGTAATGGGTTGAGAGGTCAGTGGTATCTTGGGGTGTCGGTCATGGGATTGGACACGTAGAGCACTTGGACCAAGTGCAAAGGTTGAGTGGCAGGGATGCTTTTTTCAGGGCTAGCAAGCCCCAAGTCTTGAATGGGATTTATGAAGGTTGTGAATGAAACTCCTCTAAGTGGTTGGAGGTGCGATTAAATGACTAAAGTAGAATGGAAAAATTAGTCATTTATAATGACCACATGTTCAACCGTTTGAGCACCAAGAAACTGGGTTAGATTGGCCCAATTTGTGGGAGCATTATTATCAAGATCAAGAAGATGAATGTACTACTTGCCTAGACCAATAACCATTGTAGATAAGGCTCACTTCCAGTCTGTTAATTCAGGAGCACCTTGGGCTGGTTCAAATTCTTTGCCTAAAACAATCCCATCGCAATTATCACACAACTTTCATGAGGGCAGCCCAATTTGCAAAATCTCCCTTGTACAAAGGGATTAAACGCTACTCCAATACACTGGCAACAGTACTACTGCTTGCCATGTTCTGCCGTACTCTGTGTAGTCGGCAGTTGTTGATCAGAAAGCACAAGTCTCTCCTAGCATGGTGAACCATCAGGATCTACAATCTGATGATAATGATCTGAGGAGACGCTAATAAGAGAGAAAACAGGATGGCCGTGGCCACCAGCGACTGACCTAACTACCCTGTGCCACGTGGCAGAAGCCTACTCCCACTCTGTAGTCTGATTATTAGTCAATTTTCTGGAGATCAACGAGGCATTATTTTTTCTCTTGATGGGGTCGAGGCAATGCACGGTAGCAGGTATGCTGATATTTACAAGCTTGATGCTATTTTAGTGCCTCCTCCTCGTATATTTATGGCCAAGGAATTGACGCTTTGGCCATGTGCATCAGCAAGCTCTTGAGAAACTTGTTAAGAAGCAGCTTGTTGCAGCTTGTGACCTGGATATAGTGGAGCCTTTGGATTTTTGCGAGCCGTGTATTCAAGGCAAGCTTCATCGTGCACCATTTCCGAAGAATTCTCATGAACGAGCAGCTGATCTCCTTGGACTAGTTCACTCTGATGTTGGTTCTATGGCAATTGCTTCTCTTGGTGGCAACACATATTTTGTCACATTTATAGACGATTATTCCAGGCGAGTGGAAGTGAGAGTTATGTCTCGTAAAAGGGAAGTGTTTTCCCTCTTCGTGGATTTTCGGTCTCGAGCAGAGAAGCAGACTGGCAAATCCCTCAAAATCCTGAGGTCTGATAATGGCGGTGAGTATGTTTCCAAGAAATTTCAAAACTATTGTGGAATTGTTCAGCAATTCACCGTTCCAGGGACGCCACAGCAGAAAGGAGCAGCAGAACGCATGAACCGCACGTTGGTCGAGTCTACTCGTGCAATGCTCCTTGGCGCTGGTTGTCCAGAATCTTTTTGGGGAGAGGCTATTGTTACCGCTGCTTATCTTCGCAATCGTCTTCCAACATCTACTCTTTCTAATATCACTCCAGAAGAATTATGGACTGGAAAGAAGCCATCCGTTGCACACCTTGGAGTATTCGGTTGCTTAGTTTATGCCAAGAACCTTGCTCGATTGCCTCTCGCAGTATCAAGGGTGTGTTTGTTGGTTATGGCGAGGACACAAAAGGCATACAGAATTTTGTCCTTCTTAGACTGGCAGTTTTTCCCAGCACGTGATGTGAAGGTTTTTTCCACTCCAACTCCTTCAACTTGGCGACTTGTGGAAGAAGTTCCGGTGCTTCCAGCTTCAGGGGAGCTCCACCAGCAGCTCAACAACCTCCTCCTCCACCACTCAATCCTCCACCGCCTCTTCATCCGCCGGAGCAAACATCAACCCCACCTTACCGCCACCTGAGTTACCAGAGCTAGATCTCGTCCCGTTGAGCGGCCTCGTTCTCAGTGTGACCCTGTCGGCTATTCTCGTTCTGGCCGGCCACTTTTTCCATCTCAACGAGCTCAGGATGCTGCCGAGAGTCAACACTTTTTCAGGTCGCGGTCAAGTTGGTTCTAAAGATGGTCCTGAGCCAAGAACGGTGACTGAAGCGCTCACAGGTCCTCATGCTGTGGAGTGGCGAGCTGCTATGGATTCTGAGTATCTCTCGCTTCAAAAGAACGACACCTGGACGCTCGTTTCAAAGCCAGCTGACCGCCAGGTGGTCTCAACAAAATGGCTATTTCGCATGGCCTCTATTCGAGTTTTGCTAGCTTTAGGATCTCGAGGTGCATCAAATGGATGTTCGTACAGCATTTTTACATGGAGATCTTACTGAAGAAATTTTCATCCAGCAACCAGAGGGAGCCCGGGGTGGTCAAGAAAGCTTTATATGGTCTTAAACAGTCTCCTAAAGCTTGGTTCGACAAAATGGACAAATTTCTCATTTCTATTGGTTTTCAAGAAATGCTGCTGATCAGAACGTGTACCAGAAACATGTTGAAAAGATGATGGTCCTTATTGCGTTATATGTCGACGATTTGATCTTACTAGCAAATTGTCTTTCTTTTCTACATAAGATCAAAGAGCAGCTCTTGTCTCAATTTGAGAAGGACGATCTTGGAGATATTAAGTTTTGTCTTGGTCTTAATATTATTCGAGACCGGTCCCGTGGAACTATTCATCTTTCTCAGCAGCGCTATGTGGACGAAATTCTCAAATGCTTTAATATGCACGACAGTACTCCAGTTTCCACACCTATGGAGCTTACTCTTCAGCTTTCTAAAACTCAGTCACCAACCACTGAAGCTGAGAGCAATTCCATGGAGAGGATTCCGTATCGTGCAGCTGTTGGTAGTCTGATTTATCTTGTTATTTGTACCGGCCCAGATTTAGCGCATGCAGTGGGAGTCGTGGCGAAATTCTTGGCGCTTACATATTCTCGTGTCCCAGATGAGCAATTCCACTTGCGCGGCTACTGCGACTCAGATGGCGCTGCAGGCAAAGACACCCGCAAATCTACATCCGCCTACGTTTTTATTCTCGGTGCCTCGACTCAGATTGGGCTGGTGACAAAGACACCCGCAAATCTACATCCGCCTTCTCGGTGCCTCAACTTTGACTTAGAGGAGCAAGAAACAGAGCATCACAACTCTGTCGTCTATTTCTGCGTGCTGAGCGTGCAAAGAGGCTGTCTGGATTCGCTTATTGCTCACAGAGCTTGGACATTTTCTTGTTCAGCCCACGATGTTGTTTTGTGACAACATTAGCGCAATTGCTCTTTCAGCTACATCAAAGTTTCATGACAGAGCTAAGCACATTCAGCTCCGTTATCACTATGTCCGAGAGCAGGTCCAGCGGGCATTATTGTCCTCCAATTTTGCTCTACCACCGAGCAGCTTGCTGATATGCTGACCAAGTCTCTTCCACAGGATAAATTTGCTCTCAATTGCAACCGTTTACAGTTGCAGGAGAAACAGGAGCGGTCGTGAGGTGCTGGCGCAGCTATTGCGCACTCGCTCATGAGAGAGTGAGTCTGAGTTACTGCGCCAGAGTGGGAGTGTTAGTCCTAGTGGCTTACGGGGTAGCTAGGTCAGACGCTGGTACCCTGTTTTCTCTCTTATTAGCGTCTCCTCAGATCATTATCACTTGTGGTCTTAGTCTTGGACAGGAAAGGTGGTGAAGAATGGAACTAGTTTGCCAAACCCAAGCATGTAATAAAGAACAACAGCTATGTACTGTACAATGCTAGGTCATGGAAACCTTACCTTTCTGACCGTGGGCAAATGGATTGTTGTTTTTGATTCCCAGAACTTGAGCTTGACATGAAAGAGACTTTTTGCGGAAAGCTTATTTGGTTGGAGACAAGTTTGGAGCTGTGGTGCATGCCAACAAGCCGAGCGATCCCAGGAGAAATTGTGCGAGCTGGTTCACTAATGTATCTGTTAAATTCGGAACGTTCTCAAGTAAGAATTATGCACAAAAGTATTTTTTTTTTCTCCTAGTTTTTTTTTAATCAGATTTGGAGGTTCTTTTCAAGACTGGAATGACGATTGGAAAAAAAAACCAGCAAAGGCAACTTGCACTTAGACGCTTTTTCTGTCATGACTAATTTCCTTAGTAAAAGATGCAAAAACTCAATTAGTAATTTAATTGGTATTTGAATTTTAGGGCTCATGGGCTAAAGGGTTTTTGGTGATGTATGTGAATGTCGCGATGTCGCCGCTGGAGGTGATGGTGAGGATTCCAGGCGCTTGGACATCGAACTGGAAGGTAAGCGGCGGCTCCTCGATCTCCTCCTCGCTCTCCAGCATTCGCACTACTGCATCCATTGTCGGTCTAGCTGCTGGATCATCTTGCGTGCACCAGAATGCGATGTGGATCATATTCTTTGCCTGCCTTGTGTCTGCCGAGTCCTTGACGCTCGGATCCACCACTTGCATCGTGTTCCCTTTCCGGATTTCGCTCATGGCCCAGGCTGGGAAGTACCAGCTCAGTGGCGACTCCATCTTGGAGCAGTCTAGATTTTTCCTGCCGCCAATGAGCTCCAGGAGCACCATTCCATAGCTGTAGACGTCGCATTTCTTGGTCGCTGTTGAGTGTAGCAGCCACTCTGGAGCTAGATATCCTGGAGTTCCTCTCACTCCAGTGACCACTCCATTTTGATCTCTGTCCATGAGTAGCTTCGCCATGCCAAAGTCTGCGACTTTGGCCTCAAACTTGTCACCCAGGAGGATGTTTTGTGGCTTGATATCCAAGTGGATGATCGAGTCTCTGGATTCCTCGTGCAAGTAGGCCAGTCCTCGAGCAGTGTCGAGGGCAATGCTGTGTCGAAGTTTCCAGTCCAGTTTGTTCTTGTTGTCGGAGAAAATCCATCTGTCCAAGGAACCATTGGGCATGAGCTCGTAGACGAGCAGCCTGTGTGAAGCATCGGCACAGAAGCCATAGAGTTTGACAATGTTGATGTGGCTTATGTTTCCCAGAGCCGAGACTTCTGTTACAAACTCCTTTTGTCCATGCTGTGTGCTGAGTTTCTTCACTGCCAGCTTCATCCCGTTGTGAAGCATTCCTTCGTACACTGTGCCGCAACCTCCGCTTCCTAAAACCTTTGTGAATCCTTTTGTTGCAGAGTATAGGCTGCTGAACGAGAACCTGTAAGGCGAAGCTTGTACACCGGTAAGGAAACTGTTTAGTTCGTCGAGCATGACCCTCCTTCGATGCAGGATCGTGAAAAGCAACGCAAAAGTTACAATGGCTACAGCAGCTCCTCCAGAGGTAATTCCGATCACTAGGAGCTTTGGAGTGTCTGACGATGAGTTGTCAACAGGCACTAACCTGGAGTAATTCTGGTACTTCAGAAAGCCGAACAGTTGCTGAGTCTTGTTCGAGTCTACCGTCAAGCTTCCCAGGACGTCTTCTATGAAAAAGCAATTCTGGAGCGCCTGGTCGAAAAAGAACGCCGCACAGGAGCAAGTGGATTTGCATTGCTCGAGGCAATCTTGCATTGCAGCGCCTGTTCTATCGGGAGGGTTGAAAGTGTTGGCGAAGTACGATGCACCTGCGAGTGTTACAAAGTCGGTCTCGTACCTGGAGCTGCAGTTTGCAAGAGAAGACCATTCTGGCTGGGCACAACTTCCAAGTGCTGAGGTAGTAGAGTTGTTTGCTTCGTTGGTCAGGCACTGACACTGCTTTCCTTTCTCGAGCAGCCCATAGCTCCCGCATGGCGCTGGCGGTGGAAAGAACTGACTCGTGCTATCGAGCTCCCAGCTTCCATTTGCCAACTCTCGCCTGTATGAAACCATGGTCCCATCATCGGCAAGCTGGAAATACCTCATTGTGGTGTTCCCTGGGAATATTTCCCCGGACAGTGGAGAGCCACACGGCTGTTCGTTACCACCAACACGAATAGGTTCGTATACCATGCTCATTTCTCCTGCTGGCGTGAATGAAAGAGCAGTTCGAAATCCTGGGCAGGTTACACTGGGCGAGCCAATTTGTGATCCGACGAAGCTCCACAACATGTAAGGCTGCTTTTTCTTGGAACCGATGCTCATGTATCCGACTGATCCACTGGCCTGTATCTCTGCGATATACGAGCCTTCGCTGGGGTCTGAGGCGTTTTTGTTACTCACAACTGACTGTCCAGTTACTAGCTTCTGGTTTGGCATCAGTGCGCTCCATGGGCGATCAAAGGAACTCCATACCGGGGTCTCAGATTCATCGAAGAGCTGCAAGTTCCCGGAATTCTGAATGCCGATATAGGCAACGCTTTCGTTTGGAGACCATGCCACGGAACCATTTGCATCCAGGAGCTGTAAGCGACCACCTGTTTTAGCGAGCATTGAATTTCCTGACACTGGAGTGTTCCGGTTGGCTATCCAGACGGGAGCTGCTGTGGAAGAGTTGCGAGTGCCAAACATCAGTGCCAGGTAATACTTGTTTGATCCATTGAAGTTGAGGAATGCTAAGCCCAAGTTTTCATCGTCGCTGCGTAGAGATTCTGGCCGGCTAGAAGGGTTATCCTTTGGAAGAGCACTCACCAGGCGATAACTCCCGGATCTGCCATCGCCTTGGAATTCTGGGAGACTGTTGTTCATGAAAATGCGCCATTTATCAGGTATCGTGTACAACTTCCCTTCAGAAGTAACTGTGAGGAGCATTATTAGTTCCAGGAACAACGCCTTAGCAACCTGTGAAACCTCTTGCTTTTGCATTGCTGCCGTTCTGCATTGAGAACACCTGCTTATACGAGAGGTAAGTCCTTACTTTCAAGACTTGGAAAAGTCTTGAAGACTAGACTGCAGCCATGGAGACTAGACTTCTGTTCAAGCAAAGACTAATCGAACTTTTGGTAACAGTTGGTACTCGAGACTGGAATAAGTGGAAGAAGTATGAATATGAATGAGTCAAGTGAATGGACCGCTCCCGTTCTATAGATACAAAGATAGCTAGCGCATTCTGCTTCATGGTTCATGGCTATGAAGATTTTTTTGGTCGCTTTCTTTCAGCTGATGACAATTCTCTTTCGTGTGCACGGCAGGAACTACAGTCTATCACACGGCTGGGAAGTAACGAACAACAATCAGCTTCTGGAACTGCAAGGATCACAGTCCAATGCCAGTTATCGGCTGCTCCAAGCAGGTGACAGTCCCCTCCTGAGCCAGAGCGGAAGATTTGGCTTGGCTTTCTTTCGATTCCACAACTCGGCCGAGTTCTACTTTGCTTTGGTTCTTGGCTCCAGCAACAACACGAACTCTGGCGTCTGCGTCTGGGCTGCAAACCGGGACAATCCTGTGACAGAAAATGCTACCGTTCGTGTGACCGATCAGGGAGCTCTGGAAGTTGCCGATTGGGATGGGAAGGTTGTATGGAGTTCTCCTGGTGGAGTTTCTGAGATGGAGCTTCGAGACACTGGGAACTTTGTCCTCTACAACTCCACGGGTGGGATCTCCTGGCAGAGCTTCGACAATCCTACAGATATCCTTTTAGAAGGACAAGTCATGGTCACTAAGCAGAGACTTATCAGCAGCGCCAATTCATCAAGTCTTGCTAGCGGGAACATCAAGATGGAAGTTGAGCCGAGCGGCCTCATCTTTTTTCTCAGCCGGGACACAAGACAGCCTTACTTGGTTTGGAACTTATACAATGGAAACTTGCCAGCGGACGAGACTTCCATCAACGCACCATGCCCGACTTATCACACAGAGCTCGAGTATTCCGCTGGCCAGCTGAGACTATCGTACCAGCCATCGACGAGCAACCCTTCCCAGCTCTGCAGCGCTCCTCTCACAGCAGTACTCGGGAACAGCAGCGATGACTGGCAGTATCTCAAACTCGAAAACGATGGGAAGCTGGTTCCTTACACCTACAACTCCGGACGAGCTTCGTGGGAACAGGGTCCGCCGTTCATGAGGAACAGACTTGGAGGTTGCCTCCCGATGGCATGCGAATCGAACAGCGTTTGCTCTGGGAACGCTCAGTGCAGCTGTATAGTCCAAGACCAGAGTGGCCATCAGGAGCAAACTTGCCCAAGTCCGAGCAGCATACCTCTCGTTTGCAACCACGAAGTCGAGGCCGAGAACCACCACTTTCTCAACGTGAGTGGAGCAGGCTACTTCTCCAACAATTACACCAAGGCCGACAGAGTTTCCACTTTGAGCGAGTGCTGGAGCTTGTGCCTAGCGAATTGCTCCTGCAGCGCACTCTTCTTCAACAAGCGGTCGAGCACCTGTTTCTTCGTCGACCGGATGTATGGAGGCCTCACCAGGGATCCCAACTTCGATGGCTTCCTCAAGCTGCAAAACGCAGAGCTTTTCGTGCGGAAGAAGCCCAAGGATCGCACCGTTTTGCTTGGAGTCAGCATTGCTGCGAGCGTGGTCCTGCTATCAGCTCTCGGCTTGGTCGTGCTGATGATCTGGAAGCACAGGCTTGACAAAGTTGAGCGTGCTTTGGCTCTGGCACTGCAAGGCTCGGCTCAGAAGTATACATACAAGGAGCTGGAGGTGGCGACTGGGAACTTCGCTTCGAGCCTTGGTAAAGGCGGCTTTGGAACCGTCTATGAAGGGACTCTGGCGGACGGGAGAAAGGTGGCGGTCAAGCGCCTGGAGAACCGGAACCAGAGTGACAGGGGATTTCTGGCGGAGATGGCCTCGCTGGGACGGATAAGCCACCACAACGTTGTCCAGCTCTATGGCTTTTGCTCCGAGAAGAACCAGCTCATGCTCGTCTACGAGTACGTGGTGAATGGATCCTTGGATAAGTGGCTGTTCGAAGATCGATGCTTGGACTGGCAGAGCCGCCGCGATATTGCCTTGGGAGTAGCTCAAGGCCTGGCTTACTTGCACGAGGAATCGCGGCAGCTGATTATCCATCTCGACATCAAGCCCGAGAACGTCCTTCTAGACGATAAGTTTCGTCCCAAGCTCTCCGATTTCGGCATGGCGAAGCTGCTCAAGACTCGGGATGTAAGCCAGACCGTGACTGATGTTCGAGGTACTCCAGGATATCTCGCCCCGGAGTGGCTCTTACATTCGGTAGCCACGAAGAAATGCGACGTCTACAGCTATGGTATGGTGCTGCTGGAGCTCATAGGTGGACGAAGGAACTTGTCCAAGCTTGGCGGCCATGGTGGAGAAGACTGTCGTGAAGCTCCAATGGACGAGGAGGAACAAGCTTTGTGGTGGTACTTCCCGGCCTGGGTCGTAGCTCGAGTCTCCAAGAGAGAGTTTCTCAAAGTCGTGGATACAAGGATCCGAGATAGTGTGGACGAGGACGAGGTGAAAAGTATGCTCCAGGTAGCTCTGTGGTGCATCCAGGATAATCCCAGCCAAAGACCCCCGATGGATACAGTCGTCCAGATGCTCGAAGGTCGAAAGGAGATTTTGGAGCCGCCTCTCTTCTTCCGGTTTGCGTTGAGTTCTGCGGGAGTTCTTCGGTTCTCTTCGACTAACCATCTTGGCGGTAGCGTCAGTGTGGCCATGGTAGCACACCAGCCGTCTGGTCCCAGATAAACCAATCTATAGTTGAAGAGTTTGATCCATTATAAAGTATATAGAATATTTTTTCCTCACGAAATATGGATCACCTTTGGTTCTCATTTGATTGATCCATTGACGATTGCTGATTTGCATGGTCCTTTAGAGGTTTGGAAGGGAACACCTTGGTAATTTGCAATGCCCTGCTCGTCAGTGCGAAGTTCCTGCAAGTCACACGGTTTACATCGTTCGAGTGAACAAAACATGGAAAGTCTTTCATCAACTTACAGGAGCAATCTTGTCCCACTGTTTCTTCTTGGGATTCAACACTTCCTCTGCTTTCCCATCGTGCCTACAGGGAAGATCAGTTAGCGTCAAAGCATTGATGGGAGTGCGATGATTTCCTTACCCAGCGAATTTCACTCTTTCACCTACAGGAACGCCGTCCGGAGGAGACACAGGTTCACATTGGCTGTGGTCTCCATTTGACGCACAAAGAACCTGTAAGTCCATTAGTTTGTTGTTGGATCGTAGAAAACAACAACTTACCAAGCCAGACGAGAGAACGTCCCGAACTTTCCCGGCTTTAACGTTTAGAAGGACGAGCACCCTTCTATTCTGAAGAATCAATATGTCAGCAACGTTGGTGTTTGCTTTAGCCGCAATCTTTTACCAGCATCTCACTTTCAGGCACGTATTTGACCAGACCACTGACAATTTGTCTCGGTTGTGCTTCTCCAACGTCAATTTCCTCCACATAGAGACTGGAAAATCAAAAAGCATTAGATCAAATCATCCCAAAGCCTCACACTTACGTATCAGCTGATGGATGCTTCCACACTTTCTTGATTTGTCCGACGCATATATCGAGCACGCTGACATCGCAGTCGACTTCTTTCTTTTGTGCGGGAGGCTTCTCTTTCGTTTCTTTCGCTGGTTTGCTTTTGCTGACAGAGCTCACAGTAGATACACTGTTGTCCGCCTGCAAATACAAATAGTGAGTAAAGGACAGAAAAATAAATAAAAGATGCGTAGGCAGTAGCTTACTGCTGGCGTTGGCGCAGGTAGAGGCGGCGCAGGCGAAGGCAAAGGCTGAGGAGAATCCTTCTTGAAATTTCAATAATAGTCACATCTAAGTATAAGAAAGTAATGCCACTTGCTTACCGTTTCCGCCATGCTCTTTCCGTCGACATTTGGTTTGGATGACTTACTAGAATCCTGATCACTAAAGTTCTACAAGAAATACAGTAGATTAGACTGCCACAAATGCACAAAGCGCAAAATACCGGTGGAGAGAAATATGGCTTCTTAATGTAGATTTGCGCGTAGACTTGACGCACATCTTCCTTGTTCTAAGTAGAAACAGCGAAAAAGATCTTCGACAAACATACAGACTAAACATACCTGAACGTAGTCGAACCATCGAAACAAGTTTGGCAAATTCTCCTGGTCCTCTACTGGAATAGCGGCCTATCGAGGTGTTACAAAAACAAGCCGATAAAACCAAAGTCGAAGAACTCACCACTTTCTCGCGAATTGCCACAAACATGCCGAGATCCGCCAGAGTGATCCGGGTTCCATTCCCTACAAACACCGATTTTGATTGTAGGAATGTGTTGAGAAGCTTGAGATTCGTGTCAGCTGACGCATTCTCCAAAACGAACTTCTCTGCAAAAGCTAGCCACTCGAGAGCCTGCCGAGAGAAGAAAACAATTCACGAGACTGTAAGAAATCTTGTGACTTTCTTGTGACTTAATCACAAGAAAAAAAAAAAGAGTAAGCGCTCACTTGAGGCTGTTCCTCCTCGCTGTAGCTTACATCCGCATTACACACAAATCCAACTTCCTTTGCATCGACGCTCTACAAAACAAAATACTCATCGCTCATCCAGCACGAGTGAATTTCGCAAACCTGGCCGCCCATTCGCGCCCGGAGGAGCTGGAGAGTCCGGGCGCCATCGCCATCGCTTCTAGGAACTCCCATAGCTGGTGCCCTAAACCCTAACTCCAGACGTTGCGGGATCAAATCCAAATCAAGCGCAACGAATTTTACCGCTCTTTCCAACGGCCGTCGTTTAAAGAAGTGGTATATGCTCGCTAGATCGACGGCGCACAAGCGTTTTGCCATTGGAATCCCATGGACGTTATCGGTGTTAGGGTTTATCCGGCGAGCGTGGTAAGCGGCTTTGCTCTTGAGCGTCAGCGAGAGGCGGTAGCGCAGGCAACAAGGAATCTTGCTGTACCTTAGGCGCCATGCGATTGTAGGTAGAAATTCCAGCTAGAAATACTAAAAGGGAGAAGAAAGATTTGGAGCAGAGAATGGAGAGCGCCTATGCTCCTCGGCCCATCCCTAGCAAGCGGCCGACGCGAAAGGATACGCCGCTGTCTCACGGTCTGGATCCATTCGTGTGGGATCCGCCAAATCCAGAACTGGGTGGAGGCACTTGGATTCCTCCCACGCCGCCGCCTCTACCGGGTTGCAACGAGAACGGGGTTGTAGAGATCACTGAGGGGCTGATTGGATCGAAATCCAGGGGCCAGAGCCCCGCTTCCTTCCAGAATTTGCTGTTCGCAAGCAGGGACAAGGAATCGCTGCTCGAGGAGATCATCCAGTTGAAGAGAATGCTCATCGATCAGGCTTTCTATTTGAAGCGGGACAAAGTTCACGCTTCTGCCGTCCAAATCGAGAACAAGTGAGCTCTTTGTTTTCTTTCTTCCATTTTTCCTCTTTCTCATCTCTATTGGGCTGGTTGATCTTGACTTGGAACACAAAAAAGAACTGCAGGAAGCTCGAGAACGATATCAAGGACATGGAGATGCAAGGAAACATGGGCACAAAGTCGAGTGGATCGTCTCGAGTGAGGCTTAAGCTCCAAGGCACGGTTCGATTGTTTCGTTCTTTGCTTTAGTTTCTGGGCTTATATGTGAGGATTTTTTTTCCTCCCAGGAATGAAGTCACAGTTCGAGGAGCTGCAAAATATTTGTGATAGCCAGCACGAAGAGATCACGCTCTTGAGAAGGGACGTAAGGATATCACACCAAAGAGTAAGCTTTTGTAAGAGGTGAAGGTTTTTGCTGACACGCACAAGTGAATTTGTCGAGGACAGGAAATAGAGATGGAAAAAGATGTGTTTGTAGAGGAGATCGCGAAACTCCAAAAGGATGTGAAAAAGCTAAAGCTGGTGCACAGCCAGCTTTGTTGCGAGAACAAAGATCTGTGCTGCATGAGGGACAAAGCGGGCGACATGGAAGTCTTGAATTATCATCTAGAAAACTGCATGGAGGTAAGCTCACGATCTAGAAAACAAAAATCCTAAGATCTTCTTTCACAGGTTGTTCTTAAAGCCTTGGACAAGGCAAATCGCGAGATTGTAGCTCACAGACAAAAGCTAACAGAGTCGAGCCTTCTCGCCAAGAGAAGCTCGAAGAGATACAAGGATTTGGAGGACCAGATCGCGCTGGCCAAGGATTGCCTGGAGAAAGAAAAGCTGGAAAAGAAAAGCCTGGAGGAGAAGCGCGTTTGCCTGGAAGCGGAGCTTGTCACAGTCGAGGAGAAGCTCAACGCCAGAGGCCTCAGCTTGTACCCCGCAACTCCAAGTCCGGATAAACTCGCCGGTTCCAAACCAAACAGCCCGAGGTCTGCTAGAACAGTATGACAACTTCGTTGGTAGCTGACACCTTTAGCTCGATCGTTGTCCCAAGTTTTTCTTCCCAGGACGATATAAGAACGTAGATGGTTCTTGTTTCTACTCGTTCGGTGCCTGCGTTTCAATCAGAGGATCCGTGCTGGGCTCCGCCAGCAAGACGTTGAAGCTCGAGCTCTCAAACATGACGCTCCTGGGCCTGGGTGCATCCGCTGGGCCGGTTATCTGCTTCGTGTCCTCGGCGAAGTCTTGATCCGCCATGAGGATTTGCCGACGAATTTGTCTCGCTGGATACTTGCGGACGGGTTCTGGCTCTGGAACTGGCACTGTTATTGGCACTGGCTCCGGCTTCTTTGGCTCTGGCTTTGGCGGCTCGGGCTTTCGCTCTGGCTCTTTCGGAGTTGCCGGAGTCGACGCCACTTTGCTCTTCCTGGGAGTACCCGGAGTGGCGGGAGCGACATCCGGCTTCTTCACCGTCGCCTTCTTCGTCAGCTTTCGATCCATCTGCTTGTCATCGACTTTGATGGTGAGTTTCTTCGTGAATGCCCTCGAAGGTGGCGGAGTAGAAGACGGCCCTGGAGAGCTTTCCCGTGACCTGTGCGAGGCTAGCTCGTCCTCCAGCTTACGCATCTTTCGCATCAACTCGTCGTAAGAGTCCGCTGTCTCGGAGGTCTGGCATGCCTCGTCCCTGGACTCGGCTTTGAGCTTCAATCCTTTTGCTGCAGCTAGCTCCGCCATCTCTCGTTGCTTAGCAGCGGCGGCCAGTTCCATTTCCCGTTGCTTGGCAGCAGCAGCAGCGGCAACAGCTTCCATTTCCCGCTGCTTAGCAGCAGCAGCTTCCAGCTCTCGTTGCTTCGCCAGAAACTCCATCTCCCGTTGCTTTGCAGCGAGCTCCATTTCCTTTTGCTGTTTCTCCAGCCTCGCAGCTAGCTCCATTTCTCTTTGCTTCGCCGCTAGCTCCATCTCCCGCTTCTGTTTTTCCATCTTTGCAGCTAGCTCCGTTTCCAGCCGCTGTCTTTCCTTCTGCGCTTGCAAAACATCTCCTTTCGTTCCTTTTGCTTCGTCTTTCGTTCCTTTTGTTTCCTCTTTCAAGCCTGCTCCGCGCTTGCCACCTTGACCCGGCTCCGTCTTCTTGTCAGCCGCCTTGTCTTTGGATTTCCCCGCAGAAGCTTTCTCGGCTTTTCCTGGCGTAGCACTCGGACTGGTGGATCTACTCGTGGGTTCGGCAGCCTTTGGCCTCGCAGCCTTGGAAGCTTCTTTCTTGAGCGCGTCAGTACTTTGAGGCCTCTCGGAAGCTTTGGAGAGTGCAACGGCCTTGAGCGATTTTTGTTTGAGTACTTCAGGCTCCTTGAGTGATTTTTGTTCGAGTGCTTCAGTCTCCTTGAGTGATTTTTGTTTGAGTGCTTCAGCCTCCTTGAGTGATTTTTGTTGGAGTGCTTCAGCCTTCTTACGCATTGTCTCCTGCGACTCAAAAGCAGCAGTGCCTTCCTTGAAGGTCTTTTTCCTGAACGATTCCGGACTAGTTTGCCTCGAGTCAGTGCCAGAAGCTTTGGATGCCTGTTTCTTAAACGTTCCCCCGGCCCTGTCCTCGAGCGCAGCACCTCCCGGCCTTGGTTCTGTTTTAGAGAGAGCTCCAAACAGCCTTGCAGAAGTATTCTTTGCCTTGAATGACGCTGCACTAGCAGCAGCAGCAGCGGCAGCGGCAGCATCACCACCTTTTCCACCGGGCTTGCCACCTTTTGATTTCGGAGTATCCAGCTTCCCGTCTTGATCTTTCCTAGGTGAACGCGGAGAAGTTCCTCCTTTCCCAGGGCTTGTCACTTCCCAGATTTTCTCTCTGGGCTTCGGCTTCGGCTTCGGAGAAGCCGGCTTCTTGAGTCCCTTCGCAGTAAGCTCCTTCTCAGCCTTCTTAAGCTGCAGCTCCAAGCCTGCGAGCTCCTTGTCTAGACCCCGTCGCTCGGACCTTTCGTCTGCAAGGAGCCTCTTCAAGGCTTCAGTGTGTTCTTCCAGCTCCTTGAATTGTTTTGCATTCTTTCTGGCCTCGATACTCGACTCGGTCATTTTCTGCCGGAAAATGATCACATCCTGGTTTGTTCTCTCGAGATCTTTGTTCACGCCCTGCCAAAGCAGATACTGAGGCACAAAACCAATCGTGAAATGTAATCCTTACATCCATGCAATTTTCTAGCTCGAAGTTAAGAACTGCCAGCTCGTCAGCTTTGTGCTTGATCTGACACAGCTCCTGATGCTCGCACTTGAGAGCATTCTGGACTGCTTTCAGCCCCTTGACGTCCTTCTGCATTCTCGTTATCTCATGTAGCAACGCATCTCTCTCCATTTCCATCTCCTACAACAAGAGCAACGGGCCTAGAATCTCTAGTAAGACAAACATGAAGAAATGGATCTCAACACGTTTGCTTACTTGGGTGGTGGTAATGCGTACATCCCTGCGCAGTGCCGCTACTTCTTCGTGCTGAGCATCACAAGCACTTCGCATATCTTCGTATCTGATCCTTAAACCTGCAAAACAACGCTCCAAGGAATAAGTAGACAGCGAGAAGCAAAAACGAAGAACACTAACCTTTCAGCTTAGTGCGTATGCTACTTCCGCGAGGAGATCTGGCGCTGTCTAGAGGCGACCCCTGCGCTTCCATATCCTTGATATCAAACTCTAGCTTCCTGTGAAACTAGAAACGAAGCATTTCTTTGTTGAGCTCAAAGAGGAAAGCAAAAGTCGAGACACCTGTTTTCGATCTGAATCGTGGTAGCATGAACTCGGTTTCGCCTGAGATAAAACCTTTTCTCGTGGAGAGCACGCTTCAACCTGATGGCTTCTTCCAGCAAAGCCTCCTTGTCCTTGGCTAGAAGCATTATGTTCTTGACACCACCATTCGGGCTTCCTCCCCGCGGTGAAATCGCCGGACTTGCCCCATTCATCTCATACACGCCCTCGCAATCCTCGTCGAATGGAGGAGTATTCCTCGAAACCCATGCCCCGCCTCCACGGTTCTCATACCCGCTCTCCCACACAAAGGGATCCAGGGAGAGAGACAATGGACTGCTCGGCCCAGCTGTTCCATTGGAACGCCTGCTGCGATTTGTGAGATTGCCGAGCGCGCCGCGCCCATACACAGACTCAATCCCATCCATCCTGCTCGATCCCTAGCCTACATTCTCTCGATCAGCTACACTGCCTCGTCATCCGACCATGAAGTCGAAGCGCCAAGCCGCCGGCCCGGATCTGGGAGCGCCATAGCCACAAACCCTGAAAACCCCGGTGAAAATTCAATAACCTCCGCGGAGGGAAAGGTGTGGAACAATGGGGAATGGCCACGTCGGCGGAGTATATCCCGGAGCCTCAGTTTAACAGAACCGTTGGCAAACTAAAATTAGGTTTGCATATTCATTGTAGATGCTAGAATATTCTAGCATATACTGGCATCTAATATGAGATTCCGCTCTAATTCAAGCAAGCCTAATGTAAAACCAAGTTATTTTCTTTCCTCTTTTAGGAGGATGTTTCCATTGTAGAAGCATTTCCGCGGTCTTTTCAGAAAAGTTTATGTTTAAGTTCAACAATGGCAACAAGTGGATAGTTTCACACTACCTTTTCAATCTCAAAAAATCAGGTTTAAATTGATGTTTCTGGAAATATAAAATTTATCTAATTCAGACGAAAGGTGTGAAACACGCATATTTGACTTCTAAGCTTGTATCATCAACTAATACAGCCAGTTTAACGTGAATCAGGAACAAGGAACTTAATCCAAAAGTTTACATATGGTAATTTTGTCAAAAAGGATGTGAAACTCGGTTTCTTCTAGTCCAGTCTTCGTGCTTGCTCTAGCTAGGCTCTCCCGGCTGCAAAACCACATTCCACCGATCGATTAATACCAGAAAACAAACGAGAAGTCAAGCTTGTTTTCACCTGGAATCCAGGAAGTCCTGGGATCATTTGCTGCTGGAAATGACGAAAGCTTGGCCGTGGGATGCCCGGGATGCCAGGAGGAACAGGAGCAGCTCCAGGAAGAGGTGGCGGAGGTGGCGGCGCAAACTGACCATACATGTCTTGAGGAGGCTGCATTTGTAGTTGAGGAGGGAATGGATGGTGCATTGCCATCGGCGGTCGTGAAGGAATACCAGGTATCCGAGCAGCAGCACTGTCAGGAGCTTGGACCACCGGCATTGCCATGCCAACGCCGGGGATGGTGCCTTCGTCAACAGCACCTCCAACACCCATGAATGAGCTCCCCAAGCTCGAGGCTTCCATTGGAACTGATCCAGATCCTCGTCCCAGCGGTGCCATTTGCTCGTTCGAGGCCCCTGTTGTAGTCACTGGAAGTGAGAAGTGCCACTCTTAAGCAAAAGACAGCTGACCTTGCATGAGAGGTGCGTTGTACTTGTCGCGAGTGGTATCACCAGGACGATTTCGACACCAGAACTTCGTGGTGTGGTCGCTGCCTCCGCTGCTCAGACGACAAAGTCACTGCTAAGAACAAGAGAAAAGTGTGTTCCAAACAGCACCTGCAAAGTATGTGGCCCATGGGATGCCAGGACAGATCGAGAATGTTGTTGTCGTGAGCATTTGAGACTTCTGCCTGAGGTTGATCGTGCCTAAACAAAAATGCAAAGTCAGATTGAACGTATCCAGTTTTGCATAACTTACCCAACAAGCCAGTGTATAATGCTGCCGTCGTGGCTTCCGCTCACAAAGAGTTCCTCGTGGAAAGGATGCCATGCCAATGCTGCACCAAAATAAAACGTAAGAGCACTCTAAACTCATCCAATGCAACGTACATGCTACTTCTTTCTTATGGCCACGGTAAGTCTCGATATCTTTCAGGGTTCGGATGTCAAACAGCTGAGAAAGAAAACACCAGGCGTTCGGTTCACTTTATGCCGTAAGCTGAAACACTTACCTTGATTACTTGGTCCCTTGAGCTAGTTAACACCCAATTTCCATTGTTATTCCATTTTGTACAAAGGACTGTATTTTTGTGACCATGCCTGTGATTTAAGTTAGCTAACAACAGCTATTTCACAAAAGATAATGCTTACAATGTACAAAGTTCACGGCCCGTCCTGGCATCCCACAATTTCACAAGATTATCCTTCGCACCTGTAATGAACATATCACAATATTTTCTCAAAAGCACTTAAAAGCAAACCGGAAACAAGGAGAGACTTTTGTGGATGCCAATCCACACTCTTCACGTCCCAGCCGTGACCTGTACAAAGCCAAACACATAAGAAAAAAATTGCATTGACATACCAGTTAATGAACGCTCTTCTTGACACCGGGCAAAATCCCAGATTTTGACTGTGGTATCATCGGAACACGAGCAGAACTTCAGATCCGTACTTGAAAAACTTGGAGTAACAAGAAAGAGTATAGTGTAAGAAAAACTCCAAGTGAATCCACTCGAAATTTTTACCTTAAATCTCGTACCGGTTCTCTGTGAGCTGTCTTGTTCGCTTTTACGTTGTTCATATTTGTTTGCCAGTATCTACATAAGTAGCATGTAAGAGAAGAACACAACACAGGGACATACTACATACTTGATACAGCCACCGTCATCGCCCGTAACCATCCAGTTTTCATTGTGGCTCCAGATCATCGACCTTACAGCACTATCATGCGCCTGGGAGAGATTTCACAAGAAAAACGCATGGAAGATGAATAAAAAACACTACACACCTGTAAGATCATCTCGAAGTTAAACGACAACCCATTCCAGAGAGTAAACTCTCCACTCTGGGAGCCCGTTATGAGACGACGTCCAGTAGGAGTCCACTGAAACGAGGGATAGAAACAAAAATCAGTGACGAGAACACTTGACAGTAGCAAAGCAAGTTACCAAAACTCTGTTGATCGAGCAGCGGACTTTGTTAGTCGAGCAGTGCACGAACTTTGTGCTGAAACTCGTTGCCGGATTGTCGAGATAAGCTCCCGTTGGAAGAAGCTGCAAGTAGAAACACCTGTTAGAAAAACCTCTCAAAAACCACGCTAGCTTACATCCAGCGCGGCCGACGTTGTTGGCTGGAGCACCGGCTTTTGCCCATAGTTTTGCTGCCACATTCGTACCTATCACCATACCCGACCAGAGAAATCACTGAAAAGGAACGCGGAAAAAAAAAAAAATCTACCTGGAGGTAGCGCAAGACAGTAGAGGTGTAATCCACGGATCGGCGCTGCACGGGCTTTCGAATGCGCTTGCCTGGAGCTGGAATGGCGCTGTTGGCGGCATCCTGCCCAAACCCGGGCGCCTCGGCGTCGCTAGAGGCGAACATCGCCCCAAGAACCCTAAATTTCGAAATCACTGATCGGACGATCAATATAATCCAGCCCTCATCGTCCGGTTGACATCCGACGTATATATATATTCATCACAACCCTTCCATCTTAGGGATGGCAGCTCACAGCTTGAAGGTGGCGAGGGAAGGGGAGCTGGATAGGCTGGTGGATTTTGCAGTGGCAGGCGTAGATCGCATAGTAATGGTGTTAGGGCCACAAAATTCTGGGAAGACGACTCTACTGAAGCGGTTCCAGAGCGTGTGGGAGGCGGACAAGCATGTCAAGGCGCCCCTTTACTTCTTTGAGATGTTCTCTAGGATTCTTGGGAATACTCTCAGCGATGTGGAGGCTGTCATACAGCGGCAGGCAGATGATGATGTTCCGCCCGTCTTGATCCTTGATGATGCTCACAAGCTGACGGGAGATCCTCACGCAGATGCCGAACCCGTTGTAGAGTGTCTCAAGACCATGGCACGCCAGAGAAAGGCAACTGTGATCATGGCCACCTCCGTCGACTCCTTTCGCGAGGACTGGATTGGGGACGAGGTAGAAGTTGTGTATGTAGGACACTTGGATAAGGAGCGGGCTAAGGAATTTTTCTTCAAATGTTTGGCAGACAGAGGCTCTGGTTATGTTAGTGAGCAGGATTGGAAGAAGATATATGGTATATGTGGTGGATGCCCCTTACTTCTACTAGACGCTGCCAAATCAGCAGTGAAGGATCCAAAATTGCTGGAGGAAGAACTAGGTGGAATGGTGGACTCGACGAGAGTGTGTATCCTGGGTGGAGTGACGGCTCCAGAGTAAGTAGCAGCTTGTTTCTTTTCATTTTTCTCACCGATCTCTTCTTAATCCAGGTGGTCAGCTGCCAAGTTCAACGAGGTCATGGAGCTGATGATAAGCTCGGACGATGGCGTCGTCGAGTGGGCGGCTGCTTGTGACAAAGTGTTTGGAGGCGATCAGAGTGTGTTGAAGGCCATGCAGACGAGAGGTGTCATACATGTACAGTATGCACCGAATCCTGACGGGTTAGGCTTTGCCAAGTTTATCATGCCACTGTCCCCTCCTCACTTGGAGGCAATGAGGCAGCACTTGGCTGGTGAAGAGAGTGAGGAGTGACTAATTAAAAGATGTTTACTCAAGTATTTCTTCTCCAAAAATGCAAAAGTAAGCGGAATCCATACTACATGTCAGAAACCTTCTAGAGCTGGGCTTGTGTTGGATCACTGAATCCTCGCTGCTACGGTCAGGATGTCCACGTTGCTGAGGAACCTGGCCCTTTTGTGCTGTTTGAAGCGACGCTTGGTGATGCGTGTGTTGGCGGCAGCGCACGAGTTACTGGAGAGTTTGACGTACTGGGCATGAAGTTCATGTCCATGACAAAGAAGACACCGGGCCTCTCGTCAAAGATGGGGTTGGAGTTCACTCTAAAGTAGGCAAAGGAGTTTCCATCTTTCCCAAGCACTCCACAAGTAGACGTGCTTGAGGAAGGACAGGATAGAAGTCCAGATTATCTGCGTTGGAAGGATACCTACTCTACGTGATAGACAAGAGTTAGGCATGTAAGTTAAGTAACGTCCATGTCTCACAACTTGAAGGAGATGATAAGAGGTGATTCTAAGCCTGGACATAAGAAGCAAGCAGTGAGTCCTACCTGGAGGAAGAAAACCAGCCTTGAGATAATGAAAAAAGTTCTGAACAACACAACAAGAGGAACTGCTTGGGAAGAGTGCATTTAACTCGCTGCTGGACTTAAATTATTTCACATTCGCAAATTGTTTTACTCTGCTACTTATATATATGAGAATCTGGGTCTAACCCTAATTAATATATTTATTCACCAAATTTAGAATTTTAGTTATTGTTATGCTTAGATTTACTCTTTTCTTTTAATCTTCATTGCATCATTTTCTTCTGTTATGCCACTTTGGCAACAATGCTTTGGCTCTGGAGTGGCTCCATGTCTTTTGAGACTGCACATGTTACTCTATTGTCTTTGATATCATATATAGGTGTGCTAGCTTCTGTGGGTTATGATTACACTATCTTTTGTTCTTGGTATCCTACCGTGTTATACTATTTTATTTTTAATATTTCCTTTTGGTATGTTATTAGTTTTTTATATTATTAAAATTTAATTTTAATAAACGTATTATAAGTGCTATTATAGATTAGGAATCTCAAAATCTTACATGATTGTTATAATTGAGATGGAGTGAATATAAGGAAAGTTAGTTATTCTAGGCTACTTTGTAACCTTGATTTGGACCAAATTGTTTTATCTTGAAATGTAATATTTTAAATTTTTAGCCAAAACAATTTTGAATTTTTAGTATATAATGAATCTATCTTCTTGATGCCAAAGCTTAAAACACGAAGATATACTTTTACTTAGAAACTATTTTGTAGTTAAGTAGCAAATATCAACCCTTAGATATTTATATTTGCATTTCCATTCTAGCATGAGAATATTAAAATAAATATTTAAAAAATTGCATGAAAACCTTAAATTATTCATATTTGCAAATATGCCCTTTCAAATTTAAAATGAATACTCTATTTTAACGTATGGGTGTCTATTTATTTGATCTTAATGGCAAAATAAAGATTATTTTAGGGGTAAGATACAATTTTCTTTATGAGATTGAAATATAAGTAAAAATATTGCTATTGCTGGCATTTTAAATTGATTATAATCTTAGAAGAAATATTATATAATTCAATGGAAAAGAGAGGGTTTGTTTTTAGAGACTCTATGCTTCTATTGTTGATAAAAACTTATTTTGCTTAATTACTTACATTTTTGAGTTAATATTAACATAAGTAACTTAAATAATATATTTGTGTTGAGGTTGATGAAAATTTTACTTTCAAAAGACTATTTCTCTCATACTAGTTTATACATTGTACACCCTTGATTTGTTTAATGGGACATATTTGAGGTTAAGATACCTTAGATGCATTTTAACAATTAGTGTAGATGTTAAAGGTTGGCATAATTGATATTAAAAACAATAACAATTAGAGTCCCTTAAGTAATTAAAATTTTTAATTAAAACACAATATATAATAGTTATATAAGTGCATGGAATATAGAAAGGGAATATAGAAAATATGCATATCAATTAGCCCAAAAACCCTAGCTTATATATAGAAGCGAGTGGTCTAAATTGAAATCAACCCAACGGCTACTAAAATCCCACTATGCTAATATTAATATACGGCATCATAGCTATACACTTTGACCTCACATCATTCCCTCCTCTTGGAAGACCATCAAGGTTTTTGTGTAGATGGGCTAGGATTTAGAGGAACGTCAGAAGGAGGCATTAGCAAATCTATATGTGGTATCAATTGTTCCTGTTCAACCGTTGCATATGCATAATTTATAGAGGATCGGTCTGCTGGATGTCATGTTGAACCTCATAAACTTGTAGTCCAATTTGCCGTAACACCCAATACGGTCCTTTCCACTGAGCAAGGAGCCCCTTAAATAAATCATATTCCATAAGATGGGGAAAATGGACTAACACCAAGTCATCCACTTTGTACTCTACAGGTGGACGATGATGGGAGTTATAGTGCCATTGTTGTCCCACTTGTATGTGGCTTAAGTGTTCGATAGACTTTACTTGGATAAGTGAAAAAATGCTTCGTTAAATACTGATCCCACGACCTAGCATCAGTAGCTCGTGGCATTCGCATAGGTAAACCCAGCTCCATTGGTAATATTGGATCATGACTATATAAAAATTTATATGGTGAAGCACCAACAAAGAACTATGCACCTCTATGATATATGCATACTGAAGAGACGGCAAATGACCATCCCAATCTGAATGCTGAAAGTTCATGTACTTCGCAATCATTCCTTTGAATGTCCGAATGACCCGTTCCACCAAACCGTCTGATTGTGGATGATAAGCACTCATGAAAGTGTGGTGTATCCCCAATCGAGACTTCAAAACATGAAATGCCTCAGCCATAAATGCGAGACCATTATCCAAAAGAATCCACTTCAGACAAAAATGTTGGAACACCATTTGATTGAGGAGGAAGTATCTAACAGCAGTTGCAAGGGCGCTAGCAAGAGCACCAACTTCCATCTAACGAGTCAAATAGTCAGAAGTAATAATAACATACTCGGAGGAATCAATCAACAGCTTTTTGAGATCCACAAACGCCTGCTCACAATCCAAAAACCAAATGAAAGATGACATCGATGACTTCATCAATGCTCACAATGGTGCAGTGCAATTAGAAGGATGATCCACAAAATGACTGAGATATTGCACCTTGCCCAGGAAGTGTTACATATCATTTACACACTTTGGAGTAAGGAACTTTAGAACAACCACAAGTTTGTTAGGATCAACTTACAAACCCTCACGAGAAATACAGTACCCAAAATAAGTCATATCTTTGGACCCAAACACACACTTCGACCACTTTAGCTTTAAGCTAACATCCTGTAGGTGATTCAACACTTTACAAACATCATGAATATACTCCTTCTACATCCCCTTTAAGTGAATCAATACATCATCAATGAAGTCAGCAGTCACCTCCGATATATCACAAAGAACCTTGTCCATCATTTGCTAAAAAGTTGCTAAAGCATTGTTTAAACCAAATGGCATCACCAAGAACGGTGTACAAAAACTAGTCTTAAAAATATCTTCTTCAGCCATCAGTACTTGCCAGTACCCAAAAACAAGATCTAGCTTGGTGGATTAACAACTTCGCCTCAAACGATCTAAGAGATCAGCAATGTGAGGAAGAGGGTACACATTCGGGATTGTCTCTTCGTTTAATAGACTATAGTTGATGCAGAAACGAATACTCCTATCAAGCTTCGTCACAAGATGAGGTTCACATGCCCAAGGATTCCACAACTTCCGAATAACACCCTTCTCCAACATCTCTTTGATGTTTGTATATAAAATCTTAATCTCTTTGGGTGATTGACAATGAATATGAACCTTGATTGGATGTGCATCTTCG